TAGAGGAGTTATCGAGTCATGGATTTGAAATTGTTAAAGATGAAACTGGGCAGTCACTTGTGAAATTGGTTTTCATGGATGAAAACGATGAAGCTACGGGTTATGCGTTGGTTGCACCAGAAGATGCGAAGAAAATTTTGTCAGGTGAAGCTACTTTGCAAAACGTTGTTGACGAAGAAGGAAAGCAGGTTCTAACTCTAGCACCTGTGTTGACTGAGGGCAGCGAAGAACGTAATCAGGTATGATTAAGCTTTAATCTGAAGGTTTGATTTTTTTGCCTGTTGAAAAATGTGAAGTGTATCACGTGCGATAGCATACGTTTACACGCACCCTTTTTAATTTAACCTTTCTGCGTATTTTTAAATGAGGTGTGTTCATTACACCGGTCTACGTGAAGTGCTGAGAATGGTCTCCGTTTCCGATTCTTTATTGGTGATACTACACGACGTTTGTAACACCTGTGACCTGGTTCTGCTATCCGGTGTTTTATTACACACCTAGGTGTGATAAACAGTAGACGAGAAAAGCCCGAAAGTCACACGGACCGGCTACCTAATCCCCGGGACTTGGAGTGGGGCGAACCACATAAGGCCCCCCTAGACTAGGCGTGATATTCAACCGAACGATAACAAAGCTGCCTACCACCGTCTACGACAAAATTGATCAGGAACGGCGAAAGAGGGTATCCTTGACGGACGCTGCTTCTGGTGACGAATGGTCTACTTAGTTCATCATGGACTCTTAAACGTGCGTAAAATAACCTTGGTAAGTCAACGTACCTCTGGGCATCCCTTTTTGAAGAGGGAAGCCCATCAGAACTTCGCGGTCAAATGACTCGAAGCCTCCTTTCAGGTCAAGGAACACTGCAATCGGTAATCGACGGTGAGTGTGACGCAGCTCAATGATCTGGCGCGACCTAAAAGTTTGATCAATAAATCCACGTCAAGGCTGGAATCCGGTTTGCTGTTCACGGATGTTGGTTTCCCTCAAAGGCGTCAGACGTCGAAGTATGATCGAAGCCAGCACTTTGGTAACAATCAGAATCAAACTGATCCCGCGGTGGTTTTCGCAATCGTTGCGGAATCCCTTCTTGGAAATGGGAACGATCAGTGATTCACCCTGGACTGCATTCTCTATTGCTTCCCCAGTTAGATTGATGTTGAAGGCCGTCAAGTCTTACTTTACGGCGGCTGGCTCCTGGGAGAGAATAAGCCCGCTTCATGGATATCTTGAATTGCCACTGCCTACGCTCGGCGATCTGCGGCAAGATTAGCGCAGATTGTGATCCAGCTTGACCTTCGTTGGCTAACACCGTAGACGGAACAGAGACAAAGGTTTTCAGTATCCTTTCGTACAGTTTTCTGCCAGGTTTTCAGCTGTCCACCGTGCCGATAGCGCCAGTTCGAGCAGGACGGCGGTGCCAGGACAGCTTTTGTCAGGTCGTTATCGAACTTGCGAAGAATGTGGCCCAACCATTGAAGTCGCCGCCGTTGCATTAGCGTCCTCAGTCATACAAGATTAAAACACCGATTTCTGACCGCTTCATTTGAGAGTTGATCCCTCCGTCGTACTATCAGAATGATTCTTAAGCACCATTGATGAACGATTTCTAAGCTGTAACAGTTTTCCAGTCTGAGTGGCCAGGTTTCGCAGCCGTATAGCAAGACAGGACGGACTGCTGAGGAGAAAACTCGGACTTTTGTCTTGAGGCTGATTTCATTTCTGCGCCTAGGGGGATTCTTCAACTGTAAAAGCGCCCTTCTTGCAGCATTGACGCGTATTTGCACCTCATCTTTAGCTTGGCCGTTGGAGAGAATGGCTGAGCTCTAGTATTTGAAGCTTTCGACGGATTCGATCCGCTTGCCGTTTAGAAGTGAAGCATCTTCGGGATGAATCGAGACCGTCCCATAAGTTTTGGTTTTTTATGTGTTCACCTCTAGACCGATCTCGGAGGCCTGTCAACTGATGAGGTCAACGATTACTTGAAGGTTAGACACGGCCTCGCCAAGGACACCAATATCATCCGCGAGTTCTAAGTCGGTGAGCCATAAGTTCAGAGAGATCTGAACTCCCTGGTATCCTTCCATCGAACGACCCATTATCCAGTCCACGACAAAGTTGAACAGCATTGGGGGCAATGGGCACCCCTGTCGCACTCCAGCTCCTAACCCGAAAGTGCAACCCTCCTCTCCGTAGATGCAGATTCAGGCGCTAGTGTTAGTGTTATGTTCTGAATACGAGATGACAACAGTCGGTAGTTACTCAAGAGAGAGAAGACTGAGAGTCCGGAGATGTAAGGCTTTATTCGTCTAACAACTGGTATATAGGCTAAAACGTATAAAAGAGAAATGTTATGAATACAGCGATATGCAATAGACAGAATGTTATACACAACATTCTCCCCCGGTAAAGAAAATGTCAGGCCTCTGCTTCTTAAGTTATGCGGACTAGTTCGTTGCTGTAATTCTAAAAGTGGAGGTTGTTTGCTATTCGCGGGATGGGGAGAGTTGGCAGAGGTGAAGTAAAATCATCTGTAGATTGGTTGTATGAACTGTTAATAGGTTCGGTGAATGGAGTTTCGGGGACTGTTGGTGGACACGATGGGGGCTAGATGGTGAATGGACACCGTTTCTTCTCTACCGTTCGAAAGTCTGATGTGGCCTTGGATTACCTTCGATTACATTCAATCAGCTCTACCTCGTCAACCAGTGGCTCGTACTTTGATACTCGAGGGAGGCGCTTCATTAAAACCAGTCTACGAACAGTCAGCCAACTTGCCAGTGATTCGCCGGATGTTGGCTTGCGATTATACTTAAACAGACGTTCATGGGGGAACTGGTTTGTAGCGGTACACAAAAGGGAACGAAGAGAATGTAAAACATCAGGGAGAAGAACTTCCCAATCATTGTAAAATAAAAATCTCGATTTGGCGGCTAGGGTGATTGCACGCCAAAGTGTACCGTTGAACCGCTCAACCTGTCCGTTACTTTGTGGGTTGTATGCGGTGGTTCGTCTAGTTACGATTCCTTTAGCATGAAGGAAACGTTTTAGTTCATCTGACATGAATGAAGAACCACGGTCGGTGTGAATGTAAGAAGGTATACCAAATATAGAAAATAATTGACAGAGGTGATTGATGACGGTGGTAATTGTCATATTGACACACCGAAATGCGAACGGGAATCGCGAATATTCATCAATGATTTTGAATGAATATTTGTTACGTGTATTTGATGGTATTGGTCCCTTGAAATCCATATTTAACCTCTCAAATGAAGCGGTGGCCTTGATNTTTCCCGGTGGGCAGTTTGCATAATTTCGGTTTTAATTCGGAACACCATGTACACTGGGCGATGGTGTTTTTTACGTCTTGTACAGAATAAGGTAGGTTTCGGGATCTCACAAAATGCAGAAGACGCACGACGCCAGGATGGCAGATAATTGTGAAGCTCCTTTAAGGACACGGTAGTCAATGTGGATGTGATGTACACGCGAGTGTCAGCAACTACATTTTCTTTAACGGGATGATATGATACGTCGAAACTGTAGCAAGACAGTTCGATTCTCCAGCGTTTAGTTTCTCGTTTTTCACTTTCCCTCGCTGCTGCTTCTCATACATGAATGCGACTGACCTCTGATCAGTGTTTATAAGAAAATGTAAACCAATTAAGTAATGCCGCCACTTTTGGACTGCCTCGAAAACAGCACAGGCTTCTTTCTCGACAGAAGAGTGACGCTGTTCGGAAGGTGTTAGTGTTCGTGAGAAAAACGCAACTGATCTCCCGTTCTGTGATAGTATAGCGGCTATTGCTATCTCTGAAGCATTGGTTTCCAGCGCTAGACGAGTGTGAGGATCGACGGTTGTTATCACAGCTCGGGCAAGTTCATTTTTCAGAACATCATACGCAGCTAGGACGCTTGTTGGCGGCGGGAGTGTGTTGTTCTTGACCAAAGGGTTAATCTTGTCAGAGAAATGAGATATCCACTGAGAATAATACGCGAATAACCCAATAACCCGTTGCATCGATTTTTGATCTCGAGGAGGCGGCAACTCCAGCAGGGGTCGTAGACGGTCCGGGTCGGGTTTGCTGGGTCTATGAGAGACTTCATACCCCAGAATCTCGATTTTGTCTGTGTTGATGATACTTTTAGTGTCATTAAAGGTAAAGGAGTATTTACAAGCAACCTCGTAGAAACGATCCAAGTTTCTCCGATGCTCTTGCTCAAAAGAACCACATACCGTGATATTGTCTAAATAGGCAAAAGTGGCTTCCAGTTTCTCATTCCTAATGATTTGATCGATAACTCTTTGGAGAGAAGAAACATCATTGGTGATGCCGAAGGGGATCCGACAGAAGTGATACAAGTCGCCACCCGCTTCGAATGCCGTATACGTTTTATCTACGTCCCTTAAGGGTATCTGGTGGTAGGCAGAATAGTAGGATATCATTAGGTTGTCAAGTTTGACTGGGACAGCATCGGCCAGAACTATGTTCCAGAGAGATTCGCGATCTACGGAGTCGAATGCTGCACGAAAGTCAATGAAGCAGACTGTTGTAGGTTGTTGAAACTTGTGGATATGTTACAAGAGTCAACATATTTGATCGACGCAGCCCACATCGGGGCAGAATTCTTTCTGGTTAGGACGAGTTCGTGTGTGCCTTGCTGCAGCAAAGCGGTTCAGCAAAAGTTGTGCAAAAACCTTGGCCGCCACGTCAAGTAAGCTGACGCCTATGTAGTTTTCGCACACTGATTTGCCACCCTTTTTAGGGAAAGGTAGTAAAATCAATGTGGTTCAGTCAGTTGGGCAAATTTCGGTTTCTCAGGTTGCACACAGTAAGCTATGAAGAGGGTTTAAATGGCTGAAGAACACTTTGCGAAGATTTTGGTAGGTATCCCGTCCTCACCGGGAGATTTCCGTGGCTTAAAATAGCTGATGATATCTGAAGCTTCTTGTACTGATGGCGGAGCGCAGTTAGCTTCGCATGGCGAAGATGGCGAGGAGGGCGCAAACGGAAGTTGGATTTGAGGGCGTTTGAGAAGAAGACTGAAGTGTTTCACCTATCGAGACATTTTTCCCTGCTTATCAGAAATGAGCTCACCGGAGGCGCTGCGCAGCACAGAGTGGGTGATCTGTTTCTTGCCCGATGCTGATCGAATAGGTCGGAAGAGGGTTGCCGTGTTGCCCAGGTTGGTTGCTGTCTCCATTTTTGTAGCCATTTCATTCCAGTAGTTGCATCTATCGTTTCTGGCTGATCGTGTTGCTTGTCGTCTGAGATCGCGATAAGCAGAGGATTGAGCTAGGCGGGCGTCTCTGGCCGCATTAGCTAACTGGATGGTGTGGCCGGATATACAGCCCTTCAGACGACGTGATCTAGTGCCTAGCACGTGTGGAACAGCGTGTTGTACCGATGACTTCATCCTGGTCCACTGAGTTTCAACCGAGCTCCTCGTGTTTCCTTGTGTCCTGAGAGGGATCNTGCAGTTATCATGCCCATCAGTGTCTGGCATTTCTCGCTGTTCTCCAGTGGAAGCAAACCGCGTGTTGGTAATACACAATCGATTATAATCGGCGAAGCTGAGTAATCTGTCGCCATTCTGGCAGTGCTGGCCCAGGCCAAACCTCCCTATGATGTGCTTCGTGGCCTTTGCTTGTGGACCAGTTCGAGCGTTCCACCCCCCTGCTATGACACGTGCATCCCGTTCGGGTATTTCATTAACCAGCGATTGAAGGCTGCCATAGAACTCATCCTTGACGTTGTTGTCAGATGGGAGAGTCAGACAGCGATTACTGTGAGGTTTATTGAATGACCCTTAAATCGTGCTACTGCAATCCCAGAGGATATTGGTTTTCAGGAAAGTAAATCACTATTAGCCCGATGGCTTAAAGCAAGTGCCACTCCGTGTTGACCCGATGTTTCGTTGCCGTGAT